GATGGGCGCCGGCTAGGATCGTTATCCTTTGAGTGGGAATTCGTGGCTAGATCTGGGAAGGGCTTGTGTGTCATACTGTACTTTATATTTTATATCATTATTGTTATATACATTTATTTAGATTTTTACGAATTTTTACAAGTTCGTTTCTCACAAATATGAAACATTAAAATATTTTACGTTAGTAGTCAGTCTTTCAAATGCTTCATTTTTGTGTCATTTTGCATTATGTGCATATTATAGGTAAAATATATTTTATATAATCAGTGGCATCCCAGGCATAAGAAGTTGCAGACTGGGATCAGAGTCTAACTTTCGTTCCGCCAGCAGGCAGGTAGGTGGAGTCTAGAGCCAGCCCCTGTGGGCATGGCCCTGCCCAGGAATCCGCTGGGAATTCGGGAGCAGTCTCGGCCTGGCGGGGCTCGGCAGGACCGTGCTCGCTGCCGCCTCCCGCTCCTCCTCAAGTCAATAAACCACTGAATAACAAAATTGTCAGGGTTCGTAGGGACCTCTGGTGATCATCTAGTTCAATTTACCTGATGAGGCAGAGTCATCTAGAGAAGGTTGCATAGGAACCTGGCCAGGTAGGGTTTGAATATCTCCAGAGACTCCACGACCTCCCTGGGCAGCCTGTTCAGTGCCCTGTCATTAGTAAATTCTTCCTTACGTTGAGGTGAAACTTTTTTATGTTTTAGTTTATAGCCATTGTTTCTCGTTCTGTCACTGGGCACCGCTGAGAAGAGCCTGGTACCATCCGAAACCCGCTTTGAGCTCTTTATATGCATTAATGTCATCCCCTGTCAGTGCTCTCTAAACTGAACAGGCCCAGCTGCTGCAGCCTCTCCTCATAAAAGAGATGCTCTGGACCCCAAATGATCTCTGTGACCCTCCACTGAACCCTGTCTTTGTCTTTCTTGTTCTGAGGAGCCCAGAACTCAACACAGCGTTCCAGATGTCGCCTCACTAGGGCCGAGCAGAGGGGCAGGATCGTCTCCCTTGACCTGCTGGCCATACCCTTCCCGAGGCACTCCAGGTCACCACTGGTCCTCCTGGCCTCAAGACATTATAGCCCTCCCATTATAGCCAGAGATTTCCCCTTTTCTTATGCTCCGGGAAGCTCCACATTTGCAGTCGCCTGTACCTGCAGGCGAGAAGCCGCAGCAGCCCCGCCTTCTCCGTGACCTCCCGCCCCGCCGGGGCTGACTCAGGGCCGGGCCGGGCCGGGCGGGGCTGGGCGGGGTGGCGGGGATTGGCTGTCGGGCCGGCGGCGGCCGGCGGGGATTGGCTGTCGGGCCGGCGGCGGCCGGCGGGGATTGGCTGCCGCGCGGCCTTTGTTCGGCTGCAGCCACTGCCGCAGGGCAGCGGAAGTTTGAGCGTCGCGGAGCGCGCGAGCCGTGACTCCTCCGTGGGAGCTGCCTCACAGCTGGACCCGCCCCGCCATGAACCTGGAGAATAAAGTGAAGAAGGTAAGGGGGGCTCCGGGTTGTCTGCCGCGCACGCCGGTGTCCGCACTCTGGGGAGCGGCGCACCCGCCTCGTCGCTGCAGCCCCCGCGGGGACTGCCCCGGGATCCCCCGGCTGCTGGGATCAGCTTTTGCCGGCGCCCCGCGCTCCCCGGCCGGGCCCCGTGGCGGAGGTGGGAGGCAGAGGAGAGCTGTCTGCCGGGTACCCCCCGAGCTGGGCTGCCTCGCTGCTCCCGGACCGTAGCTAGTCGCCGCAGCTGGTTCCCCTGGCGGGGTCATGCTGTCATGCAAGTAAAACATGTGTTCGGTCCCCCCCAGTAAAAGCCTGAGATCTGATGGTTGTTTCTATGTACGTGCGCTGTGTATGTTCGTATGAAATTTAAATCACAAACAGCCAAGTCGCTGTTTGTGGTTATGTTAGTGATTAATTTCAGACTTGTGATGTGACTGACTCCTTACAAGTGTGTTATCAGCGTTCTTATGGCTTACCCCCTTGAACGAGAAGCCTGAATTTGAATTTGCATTCTTTTTAAAGGTATATTGACTAATTAGTTGTGTTAAACTGTCAAGAAACAAAAGGTAAGTAAAAGAAAGCAATAGGTAATCCAATTGTATTCAATCTCTTTCAAAAACTCACTATTTAGAACTTCTATGTAAGACTGGCTTCAGGTAGGAGGCTTGTGTAAGTCTTTGCTTCTAGTTCTTTCACAAATTAAGTATAGTGCTAGAGCACTGACCTTTTTTTAAAAATAAAAGCTCATTTGTATCTCTTTTGTTACTATTTGATAAGGTGAAAAGGAGCTTTTTATGTGAATATGGGTTAAATCTATACATAACAGCCTTCACTGATACCTGAAAAGTAGTCTTTTGAAATGCACGTTGTATGAATGTGTGTGGGGTTTACTCCTGAATTATTTTATTTAAAGGTAGCAACTTGTTTTAAAATACACATATACACTTTTGTGTACCTGTGTGCTTTTCCAGCTTGCAGACTACAATCTGACTTGGGGGTGGAAGTAGTTTTGTGTGTGGTGTGGAAGACTACCTGTTGAGGCTGAATCCTAGCAATGCCTTGAGGTGCAGCTTGCTTCAAGTGATGTCACCATGTGATAGTGTCACTTGGGTGAGGATCCTGCTTTGGAGGAGCTGCCTATCTCAAGCCCCAGTCATTAGGCCATCAGCATATAGAGTAGCTAAATACTGTCATTGTGTTTAGAAGCTAGTTGAGTGCACAGGGTCGTTCCCCTTGTATGACTCCTTGATACAATGAAAATAAGATTTTTAAGTAGATTTGCTTTTATTTTCTAAGCACACTTTAAAACTTGATGGCATCACAGAGCTTGTTCGCTGGAAGTTTTTGAACTCCAGGAGGTGAGAGATGCATTTTTGTGGAAGATAGTGCATTCTAATTCAGAATTTATTCATCTGAAGAGAAAATAAACATGGGGTGTAAAATGACTGATAAAATTCTGCAGATAATGGAGTCTTGGTTTGAGTGAACTTGCAGTTGCGAAACATCTGCTTTAAATTGAACTGTAGTTATTGGGTAGTTGTGTGTGTTTTAAATTTATTTGACTATTATTTGATCATCTTTTACTTTTCTTCATCAACTTTGAAGATTCATGAAGACTTTTCTGAATCTGCTTAGATAGACACAGAAGCTATTGCCACAAAAGAAACCAGCAAAGCTGCATTTAGTGAAAGTAATATTTCTATTCTGATCTGCTTTACTGTTAATATACAAAGATGTCTGTGATTTGAAAAACTTCAAATATTCTCTGTTTCTACTATATGTATATTCAGAAAACTAATTCTGTTATTGTGCTGTTCCCTCTCCCCTGCTCACATTTTATGCTCTTCTTCTTTCTGTCTGTAACTTGGGTGAAGCTTATTTTCCAAGAGAACAGAAGAGGCTCTGTGAATGTACAGGGAGAACTGGGAAGCTTTGCTAGGTACCAGCGAGTTTGGTACAAAATCCTTTTTTGATTATCAAGATTTATTTAATCAAAACTTCTTGGATTTTGTACACTGAACAGAGTAACAGTTCATGTCAACTCTGGAGTAACTTTGTGTCTTCCTTTTCTGTCCTTTAATTCCAATTCTCAACCTGTTTATTATCTTTTTGCTTCTGTCCTTTTTTCCAACTTCCTTCTTTGTTGAAGGGTGGAAGAAAATTCTGAGAAGTTTCAAATCAAAGTTATTAAAACCAGTGACCTACTTGGCTTTTAGAAAAAACTTGTCCTGGGGTGGAGATGCCTGTGTCTGATTTTAGTCCATCAGCAGCAATGGATTGCTCAACCACAACCACATGCTGTAGTTCTCACCTGTCTGTCTTGCAGCCTGAAGTGAAAATAGTTTGAGTTCTCTTACAAAATGTACTTTGTACTTTATGTAACCTTTTATTTTGTAGTGACTTGTACATATTTATTGCCTGGGGAATAACCTGGTAAACATCACAGGCTGTTGAGTGGATAACCTGCCTGTTGGGAGGAAGTTCTTAGAACACTGGGCAGAAAAAAGCAGGAATTGTCATGTTGTCCCCAGATCAGTAATTCCATTGCATTTTTGAACTCTGAGTTTAGATGTTGGCTGTTGTGTAGCCCTGGTGTTCAGCAGAGCAGAAGGAAATGAATGCCTGTTGGAGCAGCATGCCATGTGGAGGCTCAGACACTCAGCTGGTGCTGTAGAAAAGCTTCTTCCCCTACCTACAACTGCTAGTTTATAACTGTACTGGGTAATATATTGGGATGTTTTCTGTTTCTGGAAAATTCGATAGATGAAGTTTCCAAGGTGGCATTCCTAAGATTTCTCTAAGTGTCAGTAATCCATGAGTCTATTCTTCAGTTTTGAGTTTCTGTATAGTCTCTTTGGAAAGCTGCTACATACATTTATATCTATATGCCTGGGTTTGTATGAAGAAAAAAAGCACCCAGAGAAAGTTTGTTTTCAGTGTTGATACCAGGTTTGGTGGGTTTTCTTTCTCCAAATGTAACAGTTGTAGCACAGTCTGTCTGACTGGAATTGCTTCCCTCCACTGCAAGACCACTAGGGCTCCAACAATGTACTTCAGCAGGAAAAACTACTGCCCCATCTGCCACAATTGCTAACTTTTCATCCTTTTGGCAGTGGATACCTTGCATATTTGCTGCCCATGACAGAAAAGCAACAGTCCTGTTTAACGTACCCTTCTTAAGGAATACTAAGGGCACAATTGCTTTGGCTCAGACTTTTAATTTAGCTATTGTTTGGTTTCTTTCATGTGTTTTAAAACTCATCTTGCTATCTTAACTAGTGGCCAAAGGAATCAGTACTGCCATGCAGCCAGATGTCTTACTTGGTGTGAATCTTGGGCTCTGGACAACCGCAGCCTGACAGAAACAGAAATTTCAGCACTTTCTATACTGAGCAACATACATGCAGAGTATATGCAAATGTGTGGAATAACATGTAAATTTTTTAGTCAGTTCATCATGTTTTTTAAAGCTATTAAATAGCTGGCAAACATCTAGACAGTGAATAGTGTCTTTTTGGCTGCATGTGAATGCTGAGACTTTCCTGGTCTGTTACAATTTTACTTTCAAGAGGATGGGGAGTTTAGGGGAAACTGTACAATTTTCTTTTTCTCAGGAGGAATTGGATTTGCCATTGCATTTGAGGCTCTTGAAGGTGGTGTTTGTAGTAAACGATTGCACAACAGAGCTGAAGGGTAAAAACAGTAGCTACAGCTTGAGAAGTACTTGTGAAAAAAACAGACCACTGTTTCTCCCAAATACAATATATGCTGTGTTCTCAAATCTTTTCTTTGAGGCTATGGGGAAAATGAAGATTTAATGCTTTGTGTTGAATACTGTAGCAGAACTTTGTTTCAACAGCCTGGATTCCTGCCCTGTCTGCCACCTCTGTGAACTTGGTAAAATGAATCAGTAGGTCACGGTCCTGCTTTTCAGTCCTGCTGGCAGCATGGTCTCATGCTTCACTAGAGAAAATAATCTGGCAGTGAGTCCATTCTATATAGACTTTCACAGTATAATACTTGCTTTATAAAAAGAACTTTGCCTGTGGTGGAGAAGGGTCAGGGCAGTTTGGGGGAAAGAGGTGCAACTTCTCTAATGTGGAATTTGTGTGTGGTTGTTTTTCAATGGTGTGAGACTTAGCAATGTCTAAATCACTCAGTGTTTGGTTTTCCAACTAACAGGAGAAACCTAATCAACAATTGTTGATCTTTGATAAATGAATGGTGAATAAAGTATGTACAGGAGCAAAGTCAACTTTTCTGTGTTTTGCAAAGCATGATTTAATGTCTGCTGGGCTGCACTTCCTGTTGAGGTCACTGTTTGTTTTGGTGTTACTGCTATGGAAACCCATTATAGCAGATCTTTTTTGCTGTTTCATGCATATAGTAAGATCAAGGAAATGTACTTTTATTCAGTGGTGAGTTTTGCCTGCAAGTGGAAGAATGAAAACATATTTGTAGGCATGAGAGGAACTACTTCAGGTTTGTTCACAAGGAAACTAAGTAACTGCTTCCTGCATATGCCATGGGGTTTGAGGGGTTTTTCTCCCATCAAAGTTTAAAAAAAAACCAACAAACCATGTGAATAGTGTTTTGGAGCATCTGTCTGAATCCACACCTCTAGTTATTTTTTGTCTGGCATCCCTGGATAGAAGCTTGGCAAAATATGGCAAGGCTAAATTTAACATTTTGACTGTTTTGGGGTTTTTTTTCCCTATGGCAAAAGTACTCCCCAGGTGTCTGACGATAAAATATCATGAAATGGCTGAATAACAAGTCAAGAAACTCTTTAAATTCAGTACTCCATGACTTTTTAAGATCAGATGAAACTTTCTTGGATAGGGTATAATTATAAGCCAAGTATTTTACAGCAAGAAGGAAAATTAACTTAGTTTGAGTTACAGTGTTCTGTCATAAAACACAGATCTGCTTCTGCAGTTGTTCCTGTAAAAAAAGAAAGAAATGTTTCTATTTTCCTCTAAGTAACTAAT